CATTGTAACAATATAAGAAATTAACAAAACTTTTTAACTAAACAGAAGACCCTACTTGATTTCACCTGTTTTCCACCGGTGTCCTTTTCTTGTTCCAGGGTCCCGTTCAGGTCCTGCAGAGCACTGGGTTGTTGCTTTGTGTTTGTCTCCAGCAGCCTGTAAGGGTTTCCCCGTCTTCCCTTGTTTTTTTCATGACCTTGACAACTCTGAAGAGTATTGATTGCTGTTTTGCCAAATGTCCCTCAGTTCGGTGTTTTGCACAATTGGACTGCAGTCCCACAAGCCACAGAAGGGATGTGTCCCTTTGAGTGTACTGTTTCATGGGTTTATGATGTCAGCATGGCTTACCAGTGGGGACTTGGCCTTGATCCCTGTGTTAAGGTGATTTCCACCCATTTCTCTTCTTACATCTTATGTCTCCCATATCCTTTCTCCCTATAGTTAATAAATATCTTGGGGAGATACTCTGAGACTGCACAAATCCTGTTACTCCTTGAACTTTTGCATGCTGACTTTGGCATCCATGTATCTAGTCTGCAACACCTCTGTGGAGTTTGCCTAATGATGATTTTCTCTTTTTCTCTCTTCCCTTCTGCATTTATTCATTGGAATTCTGTTGCAAGAGAGAGCTGCCACTTCTATCTATACATTTTATTCAGTATTTACATCAGTATATATTCATGGATATTTATTTTATTCTGTGGGTTACAGTCCAGTGTGCATGTGTTCAGTCGTGTCCAACTCTTTGCAACCCCAGGAACTGTAGCCTGCCAGGCTCCTCTGTCCATAGAATTTTCCCGGCAAGAATACTGGTGTGGAATGCTGATGCCTACTCCAGGGAATCTTCCCAACCGAGGGATGGAAACGTTGTCTCTTGCGTCTGTTGCCTCTCCTGCATTGGCAGGCAGATCCTTTTCCACTGTGCCACTTGGGGAGCACCTATAATCCAGTGCCATCACTATTTGTTTTGTTGTTTAAACTGTTCTTGCTTTGGCCATTAGAAGTTCTTTTGTGTTCTTCCATCAGTATATATATACATTAGCACTTCCTTGATGGAACTGAAAGATGTTTGCTGTAGACTCATCTTGTATTTTCTTCTTTTCTGGCCCTGGATTCAACCACTTCTCCAAGCAGCTCTGATTCCTTTTACTAAAGAATTATTTAGAATACAAGATTTGGGCATCAAGGGTGCTTATTACTACTGGGGTCGCATTGCTTCTAGACCCTCTTAGTGAACAGACCTAGGAAAGATATGTGTGGATGGCAGCATATTCATGTAATATGTCTCTCTGCCTTTGTCTTCAAAACCATGCCATGCTGATACCCCTTTTCATACTGCTGGAGAAAGGAATGGCAAACCACTCCAAGTATCCTGGTTTAAAACTCAACATTCAAAAAACTAAGATCATGGCATCTTGTCCCATTACTTCATGGCAAATAGATGGGGGAAAAATGGAAACAGTGACAGATTTTTATTTTCTTGGGCTCCAAAATCACTGCAGATGATGACTGCAGCCATGAAATTAAGACACTTGCTCCTTGGAAGGAAAGCTATGACAGATCTAGACAATGTGTTAAAAAGCAGAGATATCACCTTGCTGACAAAGGTCCATATAATCAAAGCTATGCATTTTCCAGTAGTCATGTATGTGTTGAGAGTTGGACCATAAAGAAGACTGAGCACCAAAGAATTGATGCTTTCAAATTGTGGTGCTGGGAAAGACAGTTGAAAGTTCCTTGGATGGCAAGGGGATCAAACCAGTCAATCCTAAAGGAAATCAACCCTGAGTATTCTTTGGAAGAACTGATGCTGAAGCTCCAATACTTTGGCCACCTGATGCGAAGAGCCAGCTCATTGGAAAAGACCTTGATCCTGGGAAGGATTGAAGGTGGGAGGAGAAGGGGGCAACAGAGGATGAGATGGTTGGATGGCATCACCGACTTAATGGACATGAGTGTGAGCAAACTCTGGGAGATGATGAAGGACAGGGAAGCCTGGCGTGCTGCAGTCCATGGGGTCACAAGAAGTTGGACATGACTGAGCCACTGAACAACAAATACTGATACCCCGGTTTCCAGGTCAATGGCACAGAGTTCATTTTCATCTTCCCCTTTCCTTATCTCTAACTTCCTCCTCCAAGAGCGAGGCATCTAGGACTCACTGTCTGTAACATACTTATTTGGTCAACTCCAGTGGACATATAATGTACTTTTTGAATTGCTGACCTATACCCCCATGAGAAACACATTTCCTGGCTAGATTCTCACGTTTATGTGCAGCCAGGATCCTGTTTTCCACAGTTTCTCAGGTTCAGTCTGTTTCCTGCCCCTTCTGGCAGTTGTGTTCTTTACTTGCGTAGTTACGTTTGTGTCCTATCTGGGGCTCCTCCCACATGCAGATTTTTCAAAACTCTGTCTTTAGCCAGTGATTTGGGATGTCACTCTTGTCACTGACCTTTTCCATACATGTTGGGGTCTATTCTGGATGCCCTGTGTTAGCCCCACTGGTCATCTCTGTGTTCATGTGCTGGTACCACACACTTGGAATCATTGAGGTTCTGTACATGCATGCATGCTAAGTCACTTCAGTTGTTTCTGACTCTTTGTGACCCTATGGACTGTAACCCACCAGGCTCCTCTGTCTATGGGATTATCCAGGGAAGAATACTAGAGTGGGTTTCCATTTCCTACTCCAGGGGATCTTCCCAACAGAGGGATCAAACCCACATCTCTCCCATCTCCTGCACTGCAGGCAGATTTTTATCACTGTGCTACCTGGGAAGCCCACAGAGGTTCTGTAGTGTGAATTAATGTCCAGGAGAGCCTGTATCTTGTGTTTCTTTCTCAGTTGCTCTCCTTGCAATTCCTGCCTGCTGCTTTTCCTCTTAGATGTAAAGTCTTTCTTTGGTCTGAGTGGGGTTGAGTCTGGAATGAGGCTGCCTGCCCATGGACAGAGTGCAGAGAGGCAGGGACTTTGCTGCACCCAGGCTGGGCTCTCTGAAGCTCCAGGATCAATCAGAAAGGGAAGAGGGACTTTTGGGTCCTTATTTTAACTGAATTGTATATTTTCTTTGAGCCTGCCTCTTGACGTTAACTTTCTACAGGGTTTTCATTCAGAAGGTGCCATGGGTAAGTGGGTGTAGATGGCACCTCCTGATGGGCGGGGGCAGGAGATGACATCCAGGCTGCTTAAGTCTATGTGGTCTCTTCAGGCTGGTGTAGAAGGTACATTGTTTCACGTGCAGTCCCAGCAGCTGTGGGGCTTCCCAGGTGGTGCAGTGATAAAGAATCCGCCTGCAATGCAGGAGACACAAGAGGCATGGGTTCTAGCCCTGGGTGGGGAAGATCCCCTGGAGGAGGAAGTGCAACCCACTCCAGTATTCTTGCCTGGAGAATCCCGTGGACAGAGGAGCCTGGTGGGCTGTAGTCCATGGGGTCACACAGAGTTGGTGGTGGTCCAGCAGATCTAATGACCCCTGCGAGGGGTCGGTCTCCCGCCCAGCACTGCGCTCTGTGCTGGGGCTGCTCTTTCGGCCAGGTGGCCCGGCACACAGGGTGATGTCACCCCCAAGCCACTGGCCAGCAGGTCACACCAAAACAAGCTCTGGTCATGGAGAACATCCGCAGAGCAGCCCCCAAGCCATGACTTCATCACTCTCGAAAAATAGATTTAATTCTCCCCTGATGGTTTGTAGAGGTGAGATTAATGTCGCTAAGACAAGATGAGGTTAGAAGAACGTCAATGACAACGTTCTGTGTCTGTAGGTGTACGCTGCAGCACTGGGGATTCTTAAGAAACAGCCCTGGGCTGACTTCATGCTTGCTCATCCCCACTGCACTTGCCAGGAGAGCTTTGCTGCCATTTGTACCATTTCTGTCCCCCAACCCTTGATCTTGCCTTGCAGTTGGAACCAGCTCATCACAGCCAGGAGTCTTGGAAATAGATGAGATGTGGTGGGGAGCTGTGGGGCTGAGTCTCTTTTTTAAATACATGATCAGAACTCACTTGATGATGATGGGCTTTTCTGGAGCATGTCAAGAAGAGAGTTGAAGGAGAGTTTCGTTCCAGGGTCGTATTGTTGGCGTACGTGTTCAGCCTCACAAGAGAACTTATTTTTTGAAAAACCGAGACCTGGTTGGTAATCCAAGTCCTGATTTATTCTTTCATAAAGCATCAGTCTTGTTGCCTTGTGGTCATATTAATTGATTTGCATGTCCTGCATTGAAGATTTTGATTGCAAGAACCAATATTTAATGCAGAATTTGAATGCAAGATTTTAGTTGCAAGAACTTGTCACCTGCCAGGGTGACGAGCCCTGGAGGACATTTCTGGGAGGGTATGAGAGGATGTGGAGAGCTAAAGGTGGAGTTAAACCAGGAGACCACAGTGAGCAGGAGCCTGGCAGCTCTGGGGGTCCTCAAAGCAGGGACTCGGGAACCTGATCCTTGAGCAGTACTGCTGGCTGGCTCATTTCCAGGCAAGGAATCCTAAATTCCTGGGAGAAGCACCTGTCTGCTCCCCACGGGTTCCTGCCCACCTGCCACTTGGGCAGGGGGAGATGAGAAGAGGGTAACCTAAGGAGAGTGCCAGCACCCACGTGGTGCGGGGAGAGGTGATTCTCTGAAACCAGAGAGCTTTCTAGAGAAAGGGGAGGACACAGCCCGTGCACCTGCTGTGCCCCACCTGCAGGCCGGCCGCGTACCCACCCTCCCTGGAGCCTGGGCTTCTCCGCTCTCACCGTGAACCTGAGCTCTCAGAACCCCCTCTGCCACCTTCATTGCCACATTTTTTATTTTGTCCCCGAGCTTCTTACTGATATCTGTCCATTGCTGCTCTTCAGAAGCACACATTGAACTAAATGAAGTCATATCACATCTTCTTAGATCTGCAGAGCTTTGCAGCAAGTACGTCATGTCCTTTAGAAGGTAGCTGCCCCCCACCCCCCGCCGCCCCTCACCCTCCCAGCGCACCGTCCCCTCACTCCGCTCTTCTGTTCCAGGGCCCGCTGCTTCTCTGCTTCCAGGAGGACCTGCTGCAGCCACCCCTGGAGCTGACCATGCAGCAAGTCTCCAGCGTGGCCCGGTCGGCCCAGGAGAAGGTGAGCCAGGCGCCGTCACCTGCTGGAGGCCTCTCCTCACCCAGGAAGCCAATTTAAAACCGGGGTGTATAACTGGGTCACTTTGCTGTACGCCAGAGATTGACACAACATTGTAATCTACTATACTTCAATTTTTTTTTTTAAACTGGGGTGGGGGAATTTATTCTTAGAATTATTGAAAATGCCAGACCTCTTACACCAAAAAAATAAATAAAATATGGCCCATCATTGATGAATGGATAAATAAAATACGGCATTCCCACATGATGGAGTATTATTTGGCCTCATGAAGGAATGCAATTCTGACACGTGCTCCCACGTGGATGAGCCTTGTAGACATTCCACTAAGAAGCCAGACCTGACACATATTACAAGATTCCATTTACATGAAATATTCAGAATACATAAATCAAGAGAGACAGAAAGTAGACAAGCGGTGTCCAGGGCCTGGGAGTGGGCTGTGAACAGTGACTGCTAATAGGGATGGGATTTTAGGGGGTGATGAAATGTTCTAAAGGTGGTGCTGGTGATGCTCGTATAACAATGTGAAATATATTTAACATATATTTAATATATTTAAAAGCCATTTGATTGTATAGTTTAAATGATCAGATTACACATAAATTTATATACATATACACTTTATTAAATTATAAACATACTTTTTATAATTTATAAAATATTGTTTAGTCACTAAGTCATTTCCGACTCTGTCACCCCAAGGACTGCAGCTTGCCAGGCTCCTCTGTCCAAGGGATTTCCCAGGCAAGAATGCTGGAGTGGGTTGCCATTTCCTTCTCCAGGGGATCTTCCCGACCTGGGGATCGAACCAATGTCTCCTGTACTGACAGGCGGGTTCCTTATCACTGGGCCACCAGGGAAGCTCCAGATTTATATAGGTGCAGTTATAAGCAATACGTGAATAATTCTGTAGCATGATATATAGATTTTAGCCATTTAGCTATTACACAGAGTTTATATTATAGTTGCTAACAGTTTACAGGCTGAAATTACTTGTTACATTGGTCAACTACCATAAAAAATGGGAATAACTTTTTTAAATAAGTCTCTGTGAAGTGCTGAGAGACTCTTAAGTATAAGCTTCCCCTTGGATCTTGATATTTTATTGTCAAGTTAAATGCATACCATTTAGCAGACTGTGAGGAGGAGATACCTGGGTGGCCCCTGGGCCCAGAAGGAGCTCCCACCCAGCCCCTGGAATCTGGTCCTTGTGTATCCCTGCCCACCCCCACCCCGGGTCAGCTGAAACATCATTTGTGCATTTCAAGTGTTTATTGTTTTGTATGTACATTTTCACAACAAGCTTTCTCTTTATAAGAACATGGCAGTTTGAATGTTCACCCAGGTTGATTTTGGGGGCTCTAGTTCATTAGCTGGATAAGGCAATGGTACCCCACTCCAGTATTCTTGCCTGGAAAATCCCCTGGATGGAGGAGCCTGGTAGGCTGCAGTCCAAGGGGTCTCTAAGTCGGACACGACTGAGCGACTTCACTTTCACACATTGGAGAAGGAAATGGCAACCCACTCCAGTGTTCTTGCCTGGAGAATCCCAGGAACAGGGGAGCCTGGTGGGCTGCCGTCTATGGGGTTGCACAGAGTCAGACACAGCTGACGTGACTTAGCAGCAACAGTTCATTAGCTGGAACTGCAGTTCACAACTCGGTGGACAAAGGCAGCTTTGCCCACCTTCCGCAGACGAACAATGAGATGGTTTTCTGTTTTTCACAAGTGCAGCAAAGCTGCCCTGAACTGTCTCCTGAGTCCTCAGACTCAAGCCTGGGAGTATCTCTGCGGCAGGTGTGGGGGTCCTGGGTTGTAGGTACACATAATCAGCTCCGCCATGAATTCCAGAATCGGTCACCCAGGCACTGACCCAGCATCCTTTGCCCTGGCAGTGCAGAAGGGCTCTCTGTCCCCATGCCCTGGTGAATCCTGGAGTCTCAGAGCTCCATAAGCCCTGCAGGAAGTATGGGAAATCCCTGGGAGATGTTGGGAGAAAACTGGTGGCAACAAGGCAGGATGCTGGCACCAGCACAGCCTGTGAGAGCTGGAAGGGGCCTTCTGAGCAGATGGTGCAGTGCCCAGGTTTCAGAAGCTAGGGGTCTGGGGGCAGCTTGCTGTAGGCCTGACCTGCCTGAGTCCCCTGCTTGGGATGTGGCCGTGTGCACTGATTGAGTACCCTATTATTGACAAATAAGCCTCAAGTCCCTTTGTGGTGGACAGTTTCTGTTTGCTGATTTCTGACACTGTCAGTATTAAGAGAACAGAGCTCAGAGACTGGCCTGGAGATGTTGGGGAGGGAGCAGGGATTAGAAATGGCCATAGACCATTTTTAAAGGTCCTGATATATAGATGGTGCCAGAAACGCTGCCTTTGGAAAGTGGATGGTTAAACTGTGTTTGTTTTAATACCATGGCAGAAATATTGCACACCCATCAAAAAGTTGAAAACAATGTATAGAAGTGCACAGGCTTTTTTTTTTTTTTTAAGCCTATCATTAACTCTTTTTTAAACACTTAATTAATTTTTATTGTGGTCATGTTGGGTCTTTGCTGCTGCCCTCGGGCTTCCTCTAGCAGGGGCAAGTGGGGGCTGCTGTTGGCTGCGGTGTGCAGGCTTCTCATTGCGGTGGCTTCTCCTGTTGCAGATCACGGGCTCCAGGTACGCAGGCTTCAGTGGTTGCAGCTCGTGGCCTCAGCAGTCGTGGTACATGGGCTTAGTTGCCCCCCCAGCGTGTGGGATCTTCCCAGACCAGGGATCAAACAGGTGTCCCTTGCATTGCAAGGTGGATTCTTAACCATGGGACCACCAGGGAAGCCCTGCATAAAGTTTTTTAAGTCTGCCCTCTTTCTCCTTGCTCTCTACCCTCCTTCCTCTGCTCCCTGCAGGTGGGACCACGGACAGCAGTCCACACTGTGTGTTAGGAAGCTTTTCACCCAGTAAACTTCTGGGAAGTGCACACAATCTTGTTTTCTTTGACAAGTTTCTTCATAGTTCTTGACTCCTATGTTTTCTTGGCCAGAGAGGACCTGAGCGCCTGCCAGTACCTTTGTGCTGGCATCGGGGCCCTCCTCTTGGGCAGGCACCCAGCCCCCTGAGCAATGCAGGAAAGTGGGTTGAGTGTCGTGGTCCCAGGGAACCAGCTCAGGGACCCTGTGGGGATCCACCTGGCCCCTGGGAAGTGGGGAGCAGGATACCCCCAAGTGCTTGGATCCTGTACACAACCTCTTCCTCTCTTGGACGTGCATCTTGACTGGTCACAGCCCATTTCAGGGTACCCACTCGCAAAGCAATCGAACCTGGCTAGTCAATTTCTCTTGTAACGTGTCCCCATGGGAGGTTCCCAAATATCCACAAGTTAAATGAAGGACAGACATTATCCCAGGAGCTGATGACAGTGCCTTCTTCCTTTCAGGGTCTGAACTACCCCTGGGGTCTCCAAACTTAGACTGAATCCTGTACCAATCCTGAATCCAATTCCTGAGAAGGGAAAATCCACAGCAGAACCTCAGGATGCAAACAGAGTATGTCCAAGGAATACAGACAGGAGATTCTAGGACGTCCCCCTCCACCCTGCCCTTTCTCTGCTCCCCATGGAGCATCAGGGCCCATGTTTCTCATCCTCCTGTCTCAGCCCTGACAAGGGACATGTGGGTGGTGTTTGAGGTAATGAAGAGGATGAATCTGCCTGGACAAGGGGGCTGGTGTATAGTCAACGTCTTGGATCAAGACTTGAATGGGGCTTGGATCAGATGAGAAAGGGGCTCTGGTCTCCCTTTGTGGGTATCTTCCTGACTTGGGTTTGGACTCGAGTCTCCCTGCAGGACCCCCCAGAACAGAACTGGGCCTCCCCCACGCTCCAAGTGCTCTGTGCTCTGACCTTCTCCTGCAGCCCCTGAAGACCCCTGTGTGCCAGAGTAACCACCTTTGCAAATATCTGTTCCTCAGCAAGCCCCCTGCCCCGGGCCTGCGCAGAGTGGGGTCTTGCGTGGCTCAGAACATCGAAGTCGTCAGGACCCGTGGGAGCTACACATTCCACACCCTGCAGCAAGGGCTGAATGGGGACCTCTCAGTGGTTTACTGATGACTCTTTTGACACCAAATGTGTGCATTTTTTCTTCCACCCAACAAGCAGTCCTCCAATCCTCTGAACACCAGCTGGGGGTCCTACAATTCAATTCAATGCTGGCACTAACTACAGTGCAGACCCCTCAGGTCAAAGGGCTCAGTCCCACCAGACTGCCCCCTATTTCAGACGCCAACCCTAGGTCTGGGCCTCCTGTGCCCACCAACTGGCTCTAAAGTTGAAGGTTCCCACAACCCCTCATCATGCTAGAACAGCTCACAGAACTTGGGAGAGCAGTTTACTTACTGTTGTTGTTGTTTACTTGCTCAGTCGTGTCTGACTCGTTGTGACCTCATGGACTGCAGCCCACAGGCTGCTCTGTTCATGGGATTTCCCGGGCAAGAATACTGGAGCATGTAGCCATCCAAGGGATCTTCCCCACACAAGCATCAAACCTGGGTCTCCTGGATTGCAGGAGGATGCTTTACCACTGAGCCACCTGGAAAGCCCTTCCTTACTATTACCAGTATCTTATAAAGAACACAGCTCAGAGACAGCCAAACGGCAGAGCAGGGAAGGGAGAAGGGATGGGAACTTCCACGCCCTGCACGTGTACCACCTTCCAGGACCAGATCTCTCTGAACCCCATTGTTAAAGGGTTTTATGGAGGTTCCATCACAGAGGACGTCTGATTAAACCACAGGCCGTGGGTCTGTGATCCCATCTCTAGTCCCTGTCCATTCCCCTGAGCTCCAGGTGGCAAAGCTTCTCCCCTCTCATCACACCTTGATTGTGGGAACCTCCTGTCTGCCTCCCATTGTTATCTAAAGGCCCCCAGCCACCAGTCATCTCCTTAGCATCCAAAAGACATTCTTATCACTCCAGAGATTCCAAAGGTTTTAGAAGCTGTGTG